TTCTTATGTTTTTATCAGCATATATTCATTCTATTCGCATTTATATCGAAATTTATGCCAAGTCCTTTTTGGCCCGCTTTCCACTTTCTGTTCGGGCTTTAACCAGAAACTTGGCAAAGGACGAGCAACTGGCAACGGCCATGTTTCTGCCACACTAATAACCGAACGCATTTTGCTCCCGAATGCATAAATTATAGTCGTAGACCGAGAGGAAGGTGCTCTATGAAATGTTATTGTAGTTATGCCCGTTCGAGCAGTGGAAAAGCGAGTATATTGGCTAGATAGAGACTTGAAATGGGAAATATATACCAGACAAAACATAACTAAGAATGCAGAGGCCCATTTTGGGGCGTGGCGAATTGAGTAAGCTGTAGGTCCCTCAGTTATAGAGCTCTCTTACTTGAATCACTCTTCAACGTTCGCGCATATTCATCTTGGGCGAGTATCGCACAGTCGTTCATGCCTGAATGCAATGATTTTACTTGTTTTTTATGCAAATTCCAAGCAGAAATTTGCATAGAGCTAGGCAATAAAAATCGATACTCGTTAAAGGGAGAGAGTGAGAGAGCGGAAGGGAGAGTGAAAGAAAGAGACAGAAAATGTAGAGGCAGAGATGCAGAGAAAGAGAACTTCCGTTTCTAAAAAAAGTCGCTCGTTATCATCCTATTGTATTACGAGGCATGCAGAAAACATAGAAATCGAAACAGCTATCATAGGAATCCTTGGAAATATCCTAGAATAGCCCCAAAAGATGCTATATCATAAATAGCTTCAGTGATGGGGAAATGGAAACCTCACTAAAGTGCTAACATCAAGTTAAACATTCACTTTGACTGCATGTCAAATATCTGTCAGTTAACAACTGCCATAAATATAGATTTTAAGTAATTGAAAAGCCGTTTGATCAACAGCTTCACTATTAACTATAATTAACGAGCGCAACTGTACTTTAATGCATTTGGAGAAAAAGCATTTTGAAATTGTTTTGGATTTTTATTTCGTAGTTGAACGAATGATTAATATGTAAATTGATTGATGGCTAAAATCGTAAAAAAAAAAAACTAAAACGAAATTCAATTAAGTGAAATGCGAATATGGTCATAAAAGAGAGACAGCAACAACGACAACAACAACAACAACAGTTTATGGCCTTAGCTAATGGGCAGGTTGGCTTCTGCTTTTGGCCTTTTGGCATTTAAACGCGTTTTGGCTTTCTTCTGCTTTCAGCTGCGACTGACTGACTGGCACTCAAATGTCAGTTAGGATTTCGAATGGCTAATACCCATTAAAGTATTGCCAATAGACACTGGGGTATATTGAGGGCAAAGTTAAGAGGGGGCGGTATGAAGGGAGTAACATACCCTAAGCATAGAACTAGTAGCTTCAAGCCTAACTTCATTGCATATTGATTATTGTCAAGCCGATAAATATAGATATATATCGATTTGAAGTTCGCTTCGAGCATATCTTGAATGTCATACATTTGTTTTAGTATATGATTTACATGTTTTTAGCACTTGAAATAACTTCGATATTTATCGATTTTCATTAAATATATCTAGTACCCCTCTCTCAAAACGCTTAAAGTTTTAAATGTAGTATGTATATGCTATGAGTGTTGCTGATTGTTTCTTATTGATATATTCCCATTTTTTTTCGATAAATATCGATTTCTAATTCAGCTTCTATATAAACATATTTCATATAGTATTTAAATAAAAACTGTTGAAATTCCATAAGATTAATCGGCATAAATGGCTATGCTCGCTCATATATATACTTTCGATTACTAAACATCGATTATTATCGATTTTTAGTTAAAAGCGGTAATATGTATATAACATATAGATTTCTTATGTGTACTCCTAGGAACACATTCAAATTAAATTCTATGACTCTCTATTCGATAGCTTCAACGATTTCCACAGTTATCGATTTTTAATCTAGCTATAGCTCTGCATATTTGCGCTAGAGATGTTTGTCAGTCTGAAATACTCACAAAAATTAAAGCAGAAATAATCGGTTCACAGTTAGAGCCTCTTTGCTTACAGGGTATTCAGTAGTCGATCACAATCGCTGCTTGCTATTATGCTGGTTATTGTAGACCGGGGCTAAGACTAATTAAGTCCAACAGCCAAATTTGACTTTGATGAACTGCTCGCATGTATATAACGGGTAGATTAGGTATATCTAGACGAGGGGGGGATGAGATGGCGATGGGGGATTGGGGAGGGAGCGATGGCTCATGCAATACGAGACGCATTTGCATAACAATCGAAGGGGTAGCTCCCCATTCGGAAGGGTTGCTTGTGTGTTGTCGGTGCCACAAATTGTTGCAGTTGCATTAATCTTAATTAATGCCATGTTGCAGTCGCAGTTGCAGTCGCAGTCGCAGTTGCAGTTGCTCTTGTTGCATATTTCAAGAGCGGGCTAATGGCTCGTTGCAGTTGGAGTCGGCTGTTGGGGCAACATTTTAATTAAGCGCCTGCTTAGCCGCGCCTCAACTTGCAAGGATTCGATTTGGCTGAACTATTTCTAAATGCCACAAGGCAGAAGGCAAGTGCGGCACAAGCTCATCTTAGCCCAGTTAATGGAGAGAAGGCAAATATAAGCTGCCGCTGCCTCGACCCAAATGTCATCGAAATGGCGCTGAGTTCAAAAACAAAGCGCATGGCCTCAATATGCAGAAGCTGCGCAAGATTAACTAAGCAAAAGGCAAACAGAAGTGCAGAAGAAGCAGAAGTAGACTGAGGTATACCCTTCCAGCATATGTCAGAGTTTTATACAGGATTTTGTAGTTCCCATCTATCTATATCCCTATCTTTTATACTATATCTTATCTCTATCTCTATCTCTATCTATATCTATATCTATATCTATATCTATATTTATATCTATATCTATATCTATATCTATATCTATATCTATATCTATAT